TCTTAACCCTTGGCTTGGTGTTGTCAGCACCACGCTCAGGCAGCGAGCCAACCGGCCATCCCTATATGGGATCCGAACCCGGGGCCTTGGTGTTATCAGCACCACACTCTCCCAAGTGAGCCACGGGCCGGCCCAATTCTAGCTTATTTTTAATGTCAAATAACCCTTGAAATTAAACATTACTGTCTTTGGAACTTTCCACTGGGCTTCTCAACGGGCTCCATCCTCTTACCCTGTTCCTTCAGTATCGAGGTCTCCCAGACCTCACTCCTGGTCCTCTTCTCACCTCAAAAGATGCATGTGTGCCCAGGGCATCAGCAGCCACCACTCTGTCCCAGCCAAGCCTGCACAGCCCTCCTCTGCTAGGCTGTCCTGCTGCCTGCCTTGTCAATGATCTCCCTGTGTCTGGCCTCAGACCTTTCCATTCATCTTCCACCTACTCCCTTTGCAAACCCAAAGCTGACCAGGCTACTCTTCAAGTGAAATTATTGCTTGAGGAAAAAAAAATATGGTTTTCTTAGACTAATATTCAAAGTCCTGCCCAAAACACTGGCCCAGGTACGTTTCTGGCTCACTTCCTGTCACTCCCTCCCTGCCATTTCTTCTCCGCCCCCCCAACTCCCCAAGTGTTAACATGCTAGACCTTTCCATGCCCTCGTGCCTCTGTCTGGGAGCCCTTCTTTCTCTTCATTATCCTTTGAGGCCCGTCCAAAACCTTACCTCCTCTGTGACGCCATCCCCACCAGCCCAGCTGGAGTGAGCCCTTCCCTTCACCCGTGCGCTTGTTCGACGCTTCTCCCTGCACGTCCTTGTTATTGGCCCTCCTCCATGTCTGCCTCTCCATTCCCTGACAAGCAGCTGCTTGAGGGCACAGGCCAAGTCTTTTGTCCCTGGGTCCGCAGTGCCTCACATGCTGCCTGCCATGTGGTCGTTACTCAGTAGAATCTGGTGGGATGGAGAAAGGAATAGATGCATGGGCCTGTAGGGGCAGCCCGTTGGCATGAGGTGGCACTCGCTTTTCTATCACGGGATATTTGGGTACAGCGGAGTGGCCAAAGAGGAATATGTTTTCCCTTCAGTCCCCACTTGACCTTTGGAAAGGTTTATGCTAGTTAGAAACCTGCCAGTTACAGCTTCTACCAAAAGTTGGCACTGGGGGCCATCACTTGGGTCAAACAGTACCCAAGTAATCCCTTCCAGAAATTGGTAAGTGATCTGGCTGCCAGGGTAAAAAAAAAAAAAAAAGGTAGGTCATTTATGTAGGCGTCTTCAGATCTGCAGATGAGAGTGACTCAAGCAGGAAGAAGAACCTGGACTTGGACTGCTTTTCTCGTTTTCCATATATAACCATTTCATAAACAATGCCCCCTTACCATGTGCCAAGCCTGTGCTGTACTTTGGCTAGAGGTCCAGGAATAGTCAGGGCCTAGTCTTTGCCTTCCAGGAGCCCATTGTCAGGCAGGTGATAGACATTGACAATGACTATAGGGTTCTTAGGAATAATGGAGCTTCCTGGCCCTAAGGCCCGTGTTAGTCTGGTTTATGATTTTAAATTTCCAGAGTCGGAAATGTTTCCGAGTAATAAATGTTATTGTATGTGGCTGACTTGCTTGATCTTTTTAGGAAGGTGGAGCTGGACAAAAAAATAATATAAATTTGACTGATGGTTCTACTGGAAAGGCCCTGGCCTCAGAATCCAGTTGTAGAAAATGTGGCCATGGGCCAGGAGGAGAGACGTGGAGATGGGCCCTCTGTTAGGAGCCTGCGTCTGATCTTCTGGTCACTAAAATGTGATGGAGCTTTTGGTGGGGAGAGGATGGGGGAGCTGAGTCATGCTCACTTGACAATGATGTTATTACATAGGAGGCTACTAAACAGGGAAGCAGTGTGTGGGCAGAAAGGGAGGGCTGGCATCTTCTGCCTCCCCTGGACTCCTGTCAGAGGTACTTGGTCAGAGCCTGTGATTCCAGCCACCTGCAGCATCTCAAGCCTGCTGTCGCCTTGATTAGAGGGATTAGAGGTGTCAACTTTTAGTCCATAAACCATTAGGTTTTTGGCATAGTTCTGTGAGTATGAGGGGTTTTCTGGAGAGAGGGTTGATGAGATTGCCAAAAAGTCGTAGGACCTAAAAGAGGTGTTAAGCCCCTGTCATGTTGATTTAAAGGCATTCTATCCACCACAGTGCACCAGAATTGCCTCAGCGGGGAATAGCTTGTAGGCAGATGGGAATGACCCAGAGGCAAGCGTATTATCTTCCTGGAGAGAAAGAGAAGTTGTTCAGGAATCAAGTCCCAAAGAAGGTGTGAGGGGCTGGTGTCTAGTGCATACATGATGGGTTTGGCCTCTGGTGAGTCGGGGCAGAGACAGGAGAGGAGCAGAGCAGGTGGCACAGACACAGCAGGACCCGTCACATGCTGCAGCAGGAGACAGGAACACTGGGCCTTCACTGCTCTGTTCCTACTTGGGAGGCCTCAGTGCTGCTAATGACCAAGCATTTGATTAAGGCATAAATTCCTCCCTGGAGAAAGGAAGGAGCACCACGTTCACTTTAGTGTTTGACCTGCTGTTAAATCTATGAAGAAAAGAGCACGTTCTGCCCCTCAAAATAGTCTGTGGCACAGCTACCCTTCAGAGAACTTCTTGTTAGCCATTGTCACAACAATATAGATAAGTTATAAGCGGCCCCAGCCTGCTCACAACCGTATACGTCAGCTGCAACACTGAGCATGCCCAGTCAGCTGACCTTCATGTTGGGAGACCCTCGATGGAAGAAGCAGTGTGTTCCTTTACGTCCCAGTGCTAGCTCTTCATCTCACCTGTGACCCGCTTACTGAGTACCACTAGTCTAGACCTCAAAGATGGCCCATCTTTTTGCCGGCCAAGAACCAGGAATTCATGAAAAGAAAAGCCAGAAGGTATAAGCTGTGGTATTTTTTAAGTAGACCTTCCCATTAGACTTTCATACACAGATCATCAAATTTGCTGCAAATTAACTCCTTGTGTTAACTTATTAGACTGCTGGAAGAAGAATCTGGGAGGGTAGAGTGTGAGAGAGGCACTGTGATTGTACGGAGTTGGGGGAGAGTTTAGAATGGGTCAGAAATCACGCAGTTGGATGGGGAAATCTTATTTAAGGTGAAATTAAAAACAAGTCATCAGTGTCATAGCTCTCCTGCAAATGTACCTGCAATGATTAATGGTAACTAGAATCAACATCCCTATTCCAGTTACTGGGACAGTCAGCACATCCACATTTTCCATAGAGTCACAAAAGGCTATGGCTCTGCAGTTGCTTCCTCTGGGCCTGTGTTTGATCACAAGTTCCTGGGATCTGACACTTCAAAGTACCTTCTGTTCTGGTTTTCTTAATATGACACTGAATGTACCCAGTTGTAAGCATGCTGGGCCCCTTTTATACAATACAGACCTGAATTTTTATTTCCAAAACATGTTCTGACTTTTTGAGAAGACACAGTTGATTTATAGACAGAGTAGTTGACCTTGACAGTCCATCCTTTGTAACCAGAAGCCTCCTGGCTCAGTGTGCAGTACTTCCCCACCACCCCCTCTGATTGAGGGCTTCCCAGGGGTGTCAGGAGACAGCAGGCACTAATTTAGTACCTACCATGCTAATCCCAGAAGAGATGTAAAAGGTATGGCACGTACATATGGATTTGCAAGTCACGATTGTGGGGGTGTTGTGCCTTCAGAATTGTCACAAGATGAGAGGACCTGAAAAAATGAGATCCAGGCGAAGCTGGATGACGAGTAGGGTGCAAGGTGGCGGAGGAAAGAGATGTCACCACATGTCAAGCACCAATTGGGCTCAAGGCTCTGGGCTAGATGTTGGAGTTGGTGCAGGTGGGGACAGAATAAACAGCACATCCTTGTCCTCAGAGGGCTTTCAGTCAGGCAGACCTGCAGACAGAGACCCAAAATTCGGTGATCAAGACATGAGAGAGATGCAGAGTCAGCGTGATTGGGTGTGGGCAATGAGGAGGGGCTGAAAAGGGTCAATTGAGGAGCTGGCATTGGTCTGACCTTGAAGAAGGAAGTGAATTTGAGCCACTGGAGTTGGGATGGGGAGGTTAGGATTGCAGAGGTATCAGGAGGTGGGGAAACACCCGGTGGTGTTTCTCAGGGAGGGAAGGTTCCTCTTAGCCTGGAGGATGGAGAGGGTGGAGAAGAGAGCAAGAGTTGAGGCTGAAGGAGTCTGTGGGCAATTTGGGCTTCCTTTGAGGGCGGTGGAGCCCTTGAACACACTCTTGTTTCTTCAGTACTCTTCCTCTCTAGAACCTGCCATGGCTTCCCCGTGCTGAGCCCCCAGCCCATAATCATAACTGAGTTTCTTGCCTCAGTGGTGTATGGCGGGCCCTGTGCATCACAGTGCCCATGTCCCTGTCAGCCCTTACTGTGTGTCTGTGGCCACTAGACCGAGAGCTCTTTGAGGACAGAGCCTTGTCACAGTCAGTCATGCTGCCACGGGGCACAGCCTTTGTAATACAAGCTGGATGGGGAGGACGGGGGAGGCTGCTCATCTATTTCAAGGGGCACAGAAAGGAGAACATGTGAAATGCCTGGTGCCAGGGCTCTTTACGTGGAGGAAGAGAAGCAAGGGGGGTGACTGGAGCTCTACAGGAGTGGGATGGCCTTCCTCTTCTGTGGTGCCAGGCAGGGTTGCCAAAATGCCCTTTCTGTCCTGCAGATATTCTGCTTGGTTTGGTGCTGCTGAGCACAATGGGGCTGTGTCATGTGCACACGTGTGTGTGTGTGTATGTGTGTGTGCGTGTGCGTGCATGCATTCTCCCTCACACATACAGAGGCACAGCCACTCCTCTGTGTCCCTTTCCACCAGTGGACAGTATTGTTGCCTCCCTTTGGCTTTCCCACCCCACCTGGTTGCCATGGGTGCTGCAGGGACTCAGATGTGTCCCCATCTGGTCCGTGTGATGTCTCATTATTCATGCTCATAAACATCTGCCCCTGCCTGCTCTGTCCAGGGGTATTTTAGTGACGCCTGGAACACGTTTGACTCCCTCATCGTAATCGGCAGCATTATAGACGTGGCCCTCAGCGAAGCGGACGTGAGTATGCACCTGGCGTTGTGCCGCCTATGTCCTGTCCCCTCTGTCTATGCACATTCCGCTCCCTGCCCTGCCGTGGCATCACCTGGACAAGTCACAGATCCTGATCACTTGATCAAAACTAGGACTTTCCTAAGGAAAGTGGTGGGAAAGAAACCTTTTAGGATAGAGCCTTATCCCAAGGCCTTTGTAAACCCAAGTCACCTTTTGGAGAACAGACTTTCTTGCACCATTTACCCCAGTCACTAGTAGGCAGGGGAAGATAGGGTGTGTCTCATTGTTTTTATTTGCTGTGTCAGAATCAATACCCAAAGTGATGTATCTATAACGTGTTTATTTTAGGGTGATGTTTCAAGTAGCCGGGTGGCATAATGCTGCAGTGTTCCCCCTTTATAACACTGTCCTTTTCTTCTTTTTCCTGTTGTGCTTCTCTCCTCTGTGGCTTCTGAATGCTTGCCCTAACAGCACTATTTCACTGATGCATGGAACACTTTTGATGCCTTAATTGTTGTTGGTAGCGTCGTTGATATTGCTATAACTGAAGTGAATGTAAGTAGCAAACTTTGTGTCCTATACTGTGATTGTTTTCATTAAGTCTGTCATACAAGAGATTAAGTCTGACACACAAGAGCCCTACCTGTGAATCTCCACACAGTTTAGAAATCCAGATGCAAAATTTTTTTAAAGACTCCTTAGTCTTTATTTTTTATTTTTATTTCAAAGGATAACTTGTAGTCTCCCCTTTCTTACTCCATCTCCATCCCCTTCCCCTAAAAAAGAGTGGGGAAGTAAATGTAGAATTGCCATTTTGAGACTAAAGCAGTATTTTAAAAGATCTCATTAAAGTTTTAAGGACTAGGAGTTCATTGTGTCAGTATGTGAACATTGTCACTCATTAGCTGTTTGACCTTGGCAGGTCACCTGACTGCTCTGTGCCTCAGTTTTTCCAGCTGTAAAATGGGGCTAATAGCGTGTGCCCTTGTACCCGCAATGGTTCTGTGAAGGCACAGGAGGGAGGCCCCATGGCCAGGCCCTCACCTGTGTCCTGGAGAGCATCCCACGCTCTAGTTCCCCAAGGAGCAATGCCAATGCCCAGGACCAGGGGCAGGAGGGCCAAGTACATGTTAGGTAGAGGATGCTGGCCCTCCACTGTAGCATTCATCTGAATCATTTGACGAGGGAACAAGTGCAGTGACAGCATGGAGCACTCCGCTCAAGGAGAGTCCTGAGAACCCCCTGCAGAGTTAAGAGGGCCTTCTGGGCCGGCCGCGTGGCTCACCCGGGAGAGTGCGGTGCTGGTAGCGCCGAGGCCGTGGGTTCAGATCCTATATGGGGATGGCCGGTGCGCTCACTGGCTGAGCACAGTGCAGACCACACTGTGCCGAGGGTTGTGATCCCTTTACCAGTCAGGGAAAAAAAAAAAAAAAAGAAGAGGGCCTTCCGCCCGACCCCCCTTGGGGCTGACCCCAGCCTGAACCACAAGGTCTGAAGCCAGCAGACAGGGCCCCATCCACATGGCCTGTCCCTGGCTCACGAGCAAGACTCAGTGGGTGTCCAGTGTATGCCAGCTTGTGCAGAACCTTTGAGGGGACACGCAGAGCATGGGGAGAGACTGCCGTGAGCACTGGCTTCTGCTTCCCTTACCAGTCCAGCCCCAGCCCCGCCTCAGTGCACCACCTGGCTGGCATCTGCAGGACCAAGGATCATGAGGTCCATCCTGGTGCCCAGACAGCCTGCACCAAGCACGCATTTGTGGTCCCTTTATGCCATCTGTTTGGGGCCAGGCTGATTCTGGTGTGGGAATAGTGAGACAGCCACCAGCCTGGCAATTCTAAGACCTGGCAGCTCCAGCCTTAGTTCAAAACTCGCTTGGACCCAGGCCTCAGTTTCCTCAAGGATCAAATGGGGTGAATAATATTTGCCCCTGCATCCCATCTCACAGATATACTATGGTGATGAAGTGATCTGAATATTTGTGAAAATTCTTGCTAAAAGACCAAAGTGTTAGGGAGATACAAGGGTATTTTTAAGTATAGGTTTTCTATGTAATAAGTGAAATGGACTGTAAGACATCATGTCCACGAGGGTATGATTTAACCCTCATCACACCTAAATTCATGCCAGGGCAAGATACTAAAATGGTGTTTTACTAACCTAGGTACATACATCCCCCCACCTCCTGAAGCCATGACTTCTGGAAATCCTGTTTTATGTGAAATATTAGATAAATCAGCTAAGATGGCCATTCATGATATGTAAATGATGATTGGTCATAAAATAATCTGGTATAAGTGGGAGAACAGCAGGTCCCTAACTGGGCTGCCCTGGACTTTCTCCCAAGTTCATGGCAAGACATCTGCCTGCTTCATCATCTCTCAACATACAGTGCTTCCAACCTGCATCGAGGTATACTTAAACCTGAAAATTCTGGAACAGACCTAATGTAAGTCGGAGACGGTCCATAATAGAAGTGAAAATACGATAAGCTACCATCTCAGCAGGTCTTCCTGGAGCTCGGTGCTTCAAGTGTTGTGCAGGTGGTGGATGTAAATGTTTGTGTCTAGGTACCAGGATGGGGCCAAGGTTTGCTCACCAAGTGAACATGCAGCTTTCTATGCCTGACCCACCTGCTGGCTGGTGGGTGCCCATGCACTCAGGGACAGCATGCCCCAGCATCCTGGCTGCTTCACGTGTGCTGGGGCTGGCCCTGCTCCTGCTGTACCTGTCCCCTCCAGCCAGCCTTGCTTGTCAGCGTCTCATTGTTGTCCTGCTTGACCTTGCATCAGTCAGGAAGGGTGCAGGTCCACACTAAAGTCTGTAGTTAGCATTCGACACTGGATGTCTGTACAAGACAGGCTTTCATGAGCCCATCTCTGGCATTCTGTTAGACTCAAAGTCAAGCTGGTGAATGTTCCCTTACTGTGCTTTCAGTCAGTGACCTTTTCCCTGGTCAGCTGTAGCCTGAGACTGACTGCTTCTCAGCCACAGCAATGCCAGTTCCCACCCTGGGCCAGTAGAATGCCACCTTAGGAGATGTCATGGTTTCTCCACTGGGCCTTGGCACAGAGAGAATGGTCAAGGCCGCTTCTTATTTATTCCACCTTTCAACGCGTTTACTGGGCATCTACCTTTCGTAAGCCCTGGGCTAGGCTCTGAGGAGACACAAAGATAAAAAAGACTGGGTAAGCTTAACCTCTGATGGGATAAATATGTAAGAGTGAAACTGCTGGTTCCTACATTCTCCCCCTACCCCCTCCCAACACACCTGGGGTTCCCCAGGGCAATGGTGCACATCACATCCTTGGTGGCCTTGTCCCCTGAGCTCCCGGGTCAGCTGAGCATGAACACCCTTGGTCCATTGTTGGCTGGTTTAGCTGCCATAGTCATCATTTTTTGCATTGTTTAAGCTGCTGTGCTCTCTCCCCCAAACTCTGCTGATTTTTCTTTCTGTTGCCTAATTGATTTTCATGTTGGTTTTATTTTTAGAAAATTGTAGCGGCAAGTACATATAAACATATATACGGTGAAGTCGTTGTTAAAGCAAAAGCACTTCTAAAGACTGTATACTCATTTTTGGCTTCCCCAACTTTGGGTTTCACTGAGTTTCACAGGATGTGTTAAGGATTGGTCACGGTCATCTAAATTGTTTCCCCTCCCATAGATTGTTGTCTGTACCCTCAGGCCTGAGCTGGGGCCATCTTGGTCGGTCACACTTGGCTCTGTGACTTGCCAGCATAGTCTTCAAAATGAATCATCTGGCCTGGACATGAGAAATCAAGCTTGCATTTGTATTCTTTGCAGAAACATTTTGGATGGCCCTTTGCAGTGTCCTGCCTGCATGCTCACCGGGCCCGCTCCACCCTGCTGTCCCCCTCTCACTTCCCCCCACCCTGCTATGTTCATGGTTTGGTAGCTCTCGTAGCTTATCTCATCACGTTTGGTCATAACATCCCCAGGCTGCTGAAATGTCGGATGGTGACCTGTGGGCCCACTTTTGCTCCCTCTTCGATGCCTGTTTGTTCCTTGAATGTTGAAATGACCCAGCAATGTGTTTTCCCTAGCCCGGGGATGGCTGTTGCTGACATTTAGTCTTTTTCCTTTATCATTATTGCCTGGGAGGCAAAATGCTTGCTTAGAAGCCATGCCTGCCTAGTTATTACTTATCAAAGGACATGTACAAAGTCAGTTGGGAGCTCACTCCCGGAGACCCAGGAATCGTCCCTGCCTTGTCAGGCACCCAGTTTGGACAGTGGCCAATAGCTTCACTCAGCTTCTTGTACGGAACCTACAGCCAGGTTGTTCAGCCTCCACCCCATACGCTAACCCTTTCCCAGGAGCTTTTCATGAAGGCGTTGGTTGTGGACACAGATCCAGCAACCCCAAATAAAGAAGCCCCTGCTCCCAGAGGTGTTACATGTCAAGTCAGAAGTCCTCAGAGGGAGGCTCCCCCGCAGAACTGGGTCCTCACGGATGCTTCAGGTTAACTGGCCTAACTATTCCTATTCTGGGATGCTGGTTTGCTTCCTGTCTGAGTTGGAAAACTGCATTGTCTCAGCTCTTCCAGGCACAGATGGAAATTAATACAGAAAATGTGGGCTAATTCCATTGATTTCACTTGGGAAATCAAAGTTTTTTGACTCCCACAGTTATAGGGGGCTGGCCCAGAACCTCTGATTCAAAAGTCTGCTGGAATCCTGTGGGAAGGGGCTGGAGGGAACATCAGGAGAGCCCCAGGAATCTAAGGAGTTTGGACACTGACATATAATTAGGCCTCCTGAGGCTAAGTGGCTGTCTCCCTGTAGGGATCCCAGCTGAAGAAATGTGACATCTCAGTGTTGGAAGGAGTTTCTAAGGTCACTCAGTCTACACCCTGAGATGACACTGGAATTCCTCCTATTGAAAACTCACTATATGGGCCGAGCCTGTGGCGCACTCGGGAGAGTATGGCGCTGGGAGCACAGTGACGCTTCCGCCGTGGGTTCGGGTCCTATATAGGAATGGCTGGTGTGCTCACTGGCTGAGCGCAGTGCGGGCGACACCACATCAAGGGTTCCGGTCACGAAAAAAGACAAAAAAGAAAAAGAAAACTCACTATCCAGCCCCTCAAGGCAGTCTTTGGAAAGCTACCTAGGGAGCAAGTTCTTCCCCAAACTCATGTCCTCCGTGGGTGTCCTGCGGGTAACCTTGGCTTTGAGCATAGCGTCAGCTGACTCGAATCCACCTCCACCTCCCACTAGGTCCCTTCATTTACAAGCCTTCTCCATCCCTTGTAAGGAAGACAGGGCTCTTCTGACTACTGAACCCTCATCAACTCCAAAAGAACCCACTTCTCAGCTATAACAGCCTAGGTGGGCTTTCCTAGTAGCCCGACCCTGCATGGTCACTGCAGACCTAAGGAGAATTAGCTGGCATGGGTGACCAGCTGAGTGCTTGGCCCAGCTTTACCCTGGCCTAGGGCTGAAGTTCTCAGCTTTGGCAGCATGTTAGAATCACCTGAGAGCTTTTAATATTCCCATAGCGCAGGCACACCCCAGACCAATTAAATAAGAATCTACAGGGGGGACCTAGGCATCAGATTTTGTTAAAGATCCCTGGGCAGTTTCAGTGTGCAGCCCAGGATGAGAACTGTCCTGCCCTTTTCATTGGGCCAACATTTGTAGTTTGGGCAAAGCCATCCTCAGGGTCCTTTCTATTTGGCAGCTTGCACTGTCCATCAATGCTGCTAGCTCCCTCCTCCCCTGAAGCAGTCCTGCCTGACAGTGGTGTGTGCCGGGAGGGGGGTGTCGAGCCACATGGGGGGTGCGTGCGGCTCGGTGTGCTGTGTGTTCTTTCCTTCCTTGCATGTGGTGTTGCCTTGTCCCTCCACAAATGCTGTCTCCTCCCTTTTGTTCTTTTAAATGAGAATATCCACGGTTTGAAGTTCATAGTCCATGACTTGTCATATTTGAAAGACATCAGTTGAGAAAGAGGTGTGCACTTCACAGTCAGTTTGGCTGGTAACTGTCACATACCCTAAGTGAGGGGGTCACGAATGGTCTGTCAGACTTGCAGCAGGACAGGGAGGGGCAAGCAGAAGGGCTCAGGCCAGATCGTGGCCAGAAAGAGTGTCTTCCCCGACCCATAAGCTGCCTCATCCTCTTGCAGGTCCAACACACAAGTTACGGGTGTTTAAAAAGTAACTGTAGAGGGCTCTGTTTTGTACACACTGTCTTGTCTCCCGAGCATAGGCAAGCACTGGCATGCATGCACACTTACACACATACTCACGCACAGTCTTCCAGCCTGGGCAAGAGGGAAGCCTCTCTGTGCACAGCCCTTAATGAGAATGATGTGGGAGACAATGAGAACTCTGAAAAATTAGTTCCTTCATTTGTTAAAGTCTCAAGTTAAACATCATTATCTGTCCCTATAAGGAGATGTCATTTCTTTTGAGGTGAGATAATAGAAAAGGAAATTGAAACTAGTGACCCTGGGCTTTGACAAAACCATTGTGGAGTTCCCATTCTGAGCACCCCAGGTGAAGCAGGCAATCCTTTTCAGCTCTGGCAACACCTGTTTGTCTTGGGTTAGCAGTCACACTGCTGACTCTCACATGTTCTCTGGTGTGCTGATACCCCTTATTTTGCATGAATTTTATAGAATTTTCTGTTTGGTCTCAGGAGGTAGCCCTTGGTGAGACAGGCTTTAGATCTGAGCCCTTCCTTTCCCCATATCCCCAGGGGAGGAGGCCACCCAAGAAGTGTGCCCATCCACACGTGCACATGTGTCCCTGGCTTTACAGACACACCCAACAGAGAGCCTCCTTGGAAGCTCCTGCTCGGAAGGGCCTCCTTCCTCTGTCAGTTCCTGGGGCTGACCAGCTCCTGTGGTGGAAGTGACACCACCAAAAGGAAAAGAGAGGCCACAATCTCCTGATTCTGGTTCAATTTACTGTTTAATTTAAAGATGCCTCCTGGTGTTGGTTAGAGTTTGCTTCCAACTCCCTTGCATTCTTTGAGACACATACCACCCAGCATGTGCCCCATGCCATGCTGGACACTGAGTGGAGTGAGGTGAGGTCCCTGCCCTCCAGGGGGGTGGGTAGGGGAAAAGTGAGCAGCCATCATGATGGAGTCTGCATCCTGGGCCCAAGTGTAGGAGCCAGCCAGACCTTGGATGACAAGGAACTGCTGAGGCTTAGGGAAAGCCGGTCCTGTGCTGTTTCTTCCACAGACTCACACAGACCTGAACTTCCTTTCATCTGAGCAGTGAGCTGTAGGTCAAGCAGTGGGGACTTCTGCAGGGAAACCAGTCTCTCTCCTCCCACTGACTCAGTCTGTCCAGCTCCTCAGCAGCCCTGCTGGAGAGGCCATCATAGGATGGACACTACCCAGGCATTTGTTCCTATGGGGACAGTGTGGTCCAAGGAGGTTTGTAGACTTTAGGCAGGTGCCACTCTTTGCCCACTGGTAGAGTCCTTCTGTTCCTCGGGGTTAGGAGGCCTGCTGTAGAGCAATTAGTTCCTGAGACCCACACCCCTGACTAAGGCCAGAAAATTAGTCCCCCTACAAGAAAGAGAGGCATGTTCCACATTCGTCTTTAGGGACAACTGAGGTTTTGCAGCACTGTCTTTTACTGGATGTCTGTCAGCTTGGGGATATCACATCCTCAGATGAGAACTAGACAGTAGTAGTGTGTCTGTGTCCAACCAGTTCCAAACAGCCCCAGGCATTTTCTCAGGGAGGGGCAGGTGTGTTGTCCAAGTACATTAACCACACATTTTTTAAAAGGGGGGAATGTCCTCCTGAACCACTGCCACCTTCTTAATTCATTAATACATTTTCAATCTTTGATTTCTTAAAGCCAACTGAAAGTGAAAATGTCCCTGTCCCAACTGCTACACCTGGGGTAAGATCAGTGACTAGTCCCCAGGGGCTGGGCCTTTACCTTGAGTCTATTTGACCATGTCGAGTTTGCCACTGGTGTTTCTGTATTCTCCATGATTGTCCTTCCAGAACAGTGTCTGCAGTGGTTTGCACTCATCATCAGTGTCCAGTACTCTTGACCAGCCCAGTGTTCTCCTCTTACACAATACAACACGTGGACATGCATGTGCTGTGTGGACGCAGTTTTCCAAGCCTTGTGTTGTTAGCATGTAACGTTTCCTTTCATATCATGCTTTTTAAGATGAAAAGGCCCTAGAAACACATCTTTAATTCTTACCTCTGTCACCTTTGCACCTGTTGCTGTTTTTATGAAAGTGTTGCATGTTCTACTTTCCATTGGGTTTGACTTCTCCATGATAACCCTTCAGAACTCTGAAGAGAGCAATAGAATCTCCATCACCTTTTTCCGTCTTTTCCGAGTGATGCGATTGGTGAAGCTTCTCAGCAGGGGGGAAGGCATCCGGACACTGCTGTGGACTTTCATTAAGTCTTTTCAGGTAAGAGCCATGCCAAGGGTCTCTATTTGTCTTAGAAGATCATACGTCATTCAGTGATTGTCCCCTGTCCCAGAGGACTCCAGCTACCACCACATGACCACTGTGTGGACCTAGGTCAGTAGAGAATGTGGAATGCTGGAAAGACCCAACTCAGCATTACTTGGGTAAATCAAATAGGATTATTTGCCTAAAGAAAGCTGTAGAGAAATCTGTAAGGACCTGTAGCTGAGAGATCTGCAACATTTCCAAGACTGAGAGAGATGTGAAGTCCTCCCCAGGATGTCCAGTGGTGATGGTGGTGTGTGAGACAGTGATGGTCCCAGACCTCTGGGATGTCTAACAACCTCTTTCTGGGATGGCTTCTCAGAAGGCTGCTATAGTCACGTCTGTCCAGTAGTCTAGATACAAATCAGAGACCGTTCCACCTGGGCCAGCACACCATCATCAGTCTCTGGAAGGACCACAGGGTTCAGGACATTTAGGCATAAGCCAGTCTCATTCGTCACCTGTGATTCTCCAGGCTGGTGCAGCCCAGTTCTAGTCTATTTCTGAGCAGATCCAGCTTCTCCTGTAACTTCCAGTACCCTACCCCAGATATTCTGGTCTTCTGGACTGAATCCATGGGGCGGGGGTGGTAGGGGAATAGAGATTCTTGTTAAAGGTGCCACATGTAGGGAATGTGTGGGTATATGCAAACATTAGAAAGTGAATCATGCATCTTCATTTCTTCAACTGTTTTTTCTTTCGAAAGTAATGTGTTCATGTTAACAAATGAAGCTATCCAGACATATATATAAAGAAAAGTTCAAACTTGCCTCCCACCCACCTCTAGAGTAATTAGCGTAAACATCCCAGTAAGCCCTTTTCCGCAGTGGGTAGGATTTTAACAGGTGTAAAGGGGAGAAGGGATGGCATCCGGGGATGGGGGTAGGTGCAAATGCTCAGAGGAGAGCAATCACCAGCCCTGCTGGGGAGAATAGGTGGAGGAAGGCAGAGCACAGCTCTGAGAGAGGTGGGGGAAGTGGGGCCTGGGCAGGTGAGCTGTGGTCTTGTAAGGCATGCAGTCCTTGACAGTTGTTATTCATATCATGTTCCAAAGCTTGTGAACGAACTGCTATAAAAATAGAATGATTCACGTGATGCCATTCTTTTTAAAGAAATTATTGAACTTTTCTTTTTTTACGAAAAAGGTTTGGTGTACTATAAATAAGAAAGTCACGTCACAGAGAGGCAGTTCATGAGAACTAAGAAACTGTGCCAAAAAAATTCTCCAACATTTGGTAATCTAGGAAGAAAATGCAAATAGGTATGGTAAGGAAAGCCCAAAACTGTGGGACTTTGTTAAGCAGTCCAGTTATTGGGGTGGTGCTGCTGCACCAGGCCAGGCTGGCAGTCACAAATCCACCACGGGCACAAGTCTGAGGGTGGCATAGTGGAAGTCTGATAGCCACTGACTTTCTGATGAGCTTTCTCATAGTAGAGAAGGTAAATGCTTTAAGTTTATGTGCTTGGAATTAAGCCTAACGATCTGGGCACCCCTGGAGGTGTGCTGTGTGCATGACTTGTTTGTCCCTTGTGATGAAGTAGAAAAGGAGTTGAGGAACATTGGATTGAGGGACTGGGGTCTGATCAGACATCAGCTAGCTCCTTTTTTTCCCCCTGGCCCAGCCCCCCAATCTTGTGGTTCTTTCAGAAGGTGTGTGTTTTAAGAAAGGTGTTTTGCCTTCTACAGCAACAGCCAGAAAATGGTTCTGCCCCCTGACCCAGTAATTCCACTCCTAAGACTTCACCCTCAGGAAATACTTCAGCAGAAGCAAGGTGATTTTACATAAAGATGTTACTTTGCAGCATTATCTTCAATAGCCCCCCACCCCTAACGTGCCCACCAAAGACAGTGGAAGCCATCTAAACGTCCAGTGTTTGGGAATGGCTTGATCAATTATTATCTCACATAGGACTCCGATAATGGATTTCAAAACTATTGTGCGAGTGATGTGTCTGTGTTGAACATGTTTAGGAGTAAGGTTTGGTGGTAGTAAGTGTGGAAAGCACTTCCTGCCCGCAAGGTCATAACACTGGGTGTGCATGAGGAAGGTGAACTCAGGACAGAAGCAGTTGTGCTGGGCTGGGATTTAAAAAGTTCTTCCTCACCATCGATGTCCTTCCACTATAACATGCTGAAAAGAAAAGCAGCGTGCAGCCCCACGCGGGGCCTCTCAGCCTGTGCGGGCCGGCGGCCGGCACTGACCCGCGTGTGTCCTCTCCCCCAGGCGCTGCCCTACGTCGCTCTCCTCATCGCCATGCTCTTCTTCATCTATGCGGTTATCGGCATGCAGGTGAGTGCCGGCTCCTGCCCTGAGTCCGGGGCGAGGTGTACCTTAGCCAGGAGAAGTAGAAAGGCCAGTTCATTGCTTCTCAGCCAGACACCTTGGCTGCTGAAGACAGAGGAAGATGTGGCTGCTTAGGAGAGAGCTCCTGGGACAGAGCCTCTGCCACGAGAGAGACCCGGGCTCGGGAGAACGTGGACAGGCTGGAATGCGCCAGGAAGAGCTATGTTCCTGGCACTCCCACCCCCCAACCTGAGAAAATCCATAGCTGATTTTAGCCACGGTAGGCGACAAGAAACCCAGCCGAAGAGGAAATGCCATACTGAATGAAGCCGTAATTGTCAATGTGGGTGTCGTATTTTCTGCACTGATGTTACTCAAAAGATATTGAGTAATAGAAAATCCTGTTTATATTCTGAAGAATTGTGTTTATCATAACCAAGGGAGATTCTCACTTGAAAGAAAGTATTTCCAGACGCTATGGTTAGGATCAAGCTGGGACCACTGTTGTGTCTCAGTAGCTCACCTTCAAAAGGAGGCATGAAACCAGGCTCTTCTGTGCCCCTGCTGTAGGGGCTGAGAGGCTGCGGCGTGCTTCCCGGCCCCTCCGGGTTAGGACAGGATTGGGCCTTACTAACAGCTGAGGCCTAACACCAAGTGGGCAGTTGGGGGCGGGGGGTGAGCCTCCATGAAGAGAGGGAGTGGGAGAGCAGCTTGTGGTTCTAGACCCCTGAGGGGGGCTCCTTGCATATTCTTCACTTGCACCGATGCCATCTTTCAGATAAGGGATGTGAGAGAGGAAAGGGCGAGGTGATTCTGGGGACGGAGAAATGGGTGTGCTTACTTTTTTATCCAAAAGCATAGAAGCATTTGCAGGTCTCTAGGAATCTTCCTCGGAGTTAGGAAAGTCACCGTACTTGAGCCCTGTAATTCAGCAGCATGTGATGCTGTGTGCCCTGAAGGGTCTGTCATTGCACACATCCTCATAGAAAACAGAGGTGTCCCAGAGGACTGCCCGCTGTGTCACACACACCACCCCAGATGCACCCAGCAGGCATTTGCCGGACATCAAGCTCTTTTAAAATGTCAGTCAGTTTCCTAAGTCCCACAAGAAAAACCATTTACTTAACCTCCCATTGCCCTTAAGGTCAAGTCCATGCTCATCCTGTGGCTCACAAGCCCCTGCCCCATCTGCAGTGTGACCTTTCCTCTGTCTGCTCACCACTCATGTTCCTTCATTTCCTGGGACACCTGTGCTGTCACCTCTGCTCCTTGGAAGGCTGTGCGCCCTCTGCCTGGAACACTCTTCACCCTCCTTGTCCCTGGCTGACGGCCACTTATCCTTCAGCTTGGGGCTTACGTGTCACTTCCCCCTGGAGGTCTTCCCCAGCCTCCCATAGATGAGCCTGTTCTGTGCTTCTCTGGGAGTCTGGACCATCCCAGCATCATCATGCCTGTTATCATTACCTGGTTACCTTACTGTCTCTCCCCTGGGGTAGGGACTCCTTGCAGGTAAGAGTATGCCCATCTGGATTGCCATGTCCCCAGCATTTAACATGGTGCCTGGAACATGGTTGTGCCCAGCAGATCTTTGTTGAATGAATGAAGTGCCGAGTACCATGAGAAAGCTCTAGTTGGTGTTGACCAAACCTGAATTAGTTCTAAACTCACATATGAGTTTTTTGGTATGATAAAATCTATTCTTTTTTCCCTAATGACTTCTGCTCCTAGATGTTTGGGAAAGTTGCCATGAGAGATAACAACCAGATCAACAGGAACAACAACTTCCAGACATTTCCCCAGGCGGTGCTGCTGCTCTTCAGGTGACTGTGTCCAGAGCACAAGGTGCTCCTGGGCAGGGGCGCAAATCTCTCTCTAGCTCTGGGCTCCGGAGTGACAGAGGACACATGTTATTACCACCGTGTGCCTTTCCCCGTGGATCATGATGGCTTTTTTGTTTGTTTTGTATTCTCAAACAGAGACCCTAGCATTTAGTCACAGAGGAATTTTGCTTGAGTGTTAA